TTACGGAAAAAGTTCAAAAACAACCATTCTCCAAACATTAAACTAAATGCTTGCCCATTTTCCCTTGGTCAAAACATCCGATGGGTCATTTCCGGCTGCTAGTTCGTATGCATTGGCAATACGCATGTTTTGAATTAAAAGCATACTTCTCTACTAAAAACGTTGTGGATGATGTTTTCACTCAGTTTTGTTGAGGGGTCCAAATCCGCGCAGGGTGGTCCAAATCCTGGGGGTCCAAATCCGCTCGCGGATTTGGACTGGGGGGTCCATATACGCTAGCGGATTTGGACCGGAGGGTCCATATCCGCTGGCGGATTTGGACCGGGGGGTCCAAATCTAGGGGGGCCTAATCCGCTAGGACACCGGGACGACGTATCGAGTCTTTTGAAGTACTACCGCCTATCCAGCGAAATCCTCGATTACAAGTTAATTTTCTTTCGTTCCGGTCATTTTGACCACGATATGGAAAAAATGTAATAGCTATTGGTATGTTCTTAACATCCGAACACTTTAAGAAACACTGGAAATGCGGTGAAAGTACTTGTTAACAGCCACAGCACAAGGGAAAATATGAGGCGAAAAATAAAAGAAAACTATTGTCCGACGGGAAGTCGAGAGGACCGCTCAGTAGCGAGAGCGGCGCTTATCTATCCCTTAGCAATAATTAATTCTTTCATTATCAAAACCATTCGGAGTTTTTTATATGGCACGAGAAAGAAAAACAAGGAAGACAGCAGCGTTGTGCGAGCGAGTTTGTTCTTCAAGGATCAAACATCAACTAACTCAGTTAAAAGGCAAATGCGTGATCTCAGTCACAAGATTGGCACTACACTACAACCCGTGTTTATCAGCACAAAGTTGAACAAGACCTCAAGCCCAGAGAAATCAAGCCTCCAAACGTAAATAAAAAATGCGTTGTTTACTCTTTTACATGTGATCTGTGTGATTCAGATTATGTCGGCTTTACAGCTCGACACCTTCATCAACATAAAAACTTTGCGATCGGTAAACACTTTTCGACAGCCCATGGGGATGCAAGCCTCCTCAAAGAAAGCCAATTCCGCATTCTAAAAAAGTGCCAAGGAAAATTTGACTGTCTTATCCATGAGATGCTTTTCATCAAGCAGCGCAATCCTAGTCTCAACATGCAGACTGATTCCATTCGCGCAAAAATCTTTGTTTAAAAGAACATTCCATTGCCCTTTTTTTTTTTTTTTTTTTTTTTTTTTAGTATTTAAACATTTTTTATCTTTCACTCTTTGACTTGATAATGGCGTTAGCCAAACGTCGAAACGTCGTCAACATATTTTTAATATGCTTTTACGAAATGTTTTATCGCAATTTTTTATCGTTAAATGTTTTCAAAAACCGCTTCTTTTTCGAATCAATAATCAATTAAATAAAAATGAACCTTCTGGCTAGTGTCCTTAACAGCCACTGTATGAGTTTTAGTGACTTTCAATTTGTATCATTTGCCCTCAAGAAGGATACATGCGTACAGTTTCCTAATGAAATTACTGAGGGGCGAGACAGTAAAGTCAACAATGTTGTAGATACCAAGCTCGAGCGATAGTGAAATCATTGTATTTTGTGCAAGTACATACCCTGAGGGAATTCAAATGATTGTAAGTCGTTTTGATACAGGAAACGACTGTAATTCGGATCGAATTCGAAACCAAAAAAGCATTCTCTTCAAGCTGTGTTTACTTATAATTATGTACAAGTTTTCTTCTTTCAAAGTTCAACAGCGATGAGTTTACGCCTGGCGAGAATATCGCTTTATGCAAAAGTGGCCTCGTTGAAGATTGCCCAGGAATAAACATTTTTACAGGTCGCCAGTTACATTTTCAACGTGATAGATAGAACGGATTATATATGGTTGCAAGTGTTTATTTGATTTATCCTAATATTTGAGACCGCGTTTTGCGAGTTACAACTTTTCCGTGAATATTAAAGCATTATTATAAAAAACATTTATGAGACTAGACTGTTGGTAAACGGAATTTTGCAAAGTGAACTGATATTTTACTGTTGTCGATGCAAAGTTCTTGAAAACAGAACTTTCAGGGTAAAAATATCCATGATTATGGTGAGTTAAGGAGCATGAAAGCAGGTTCACGGAAACTTCACTAGGTGAAACGTTTTATTGAGCCACGATTGGTATTTATTTTAAATGGCAAAATGATAGAGTTTACCCTTAATTTGGTTTATTCATGTTCATTACAACAGAACACAATAAACTTTAAGATATTTCCCCATTCTGTGAAAAGATAGGATCACTGAAACAGCGCCGGAGATCTCTCAAATATCCTAGTGTTTTTCTCCATTCGAGAAAACTGAGAAATGATTAGAGGTTCTAGAAAATTGATATATATTCTGAAAAGTTTCAGAAACTCTTACTTGTCCGGCCATCCAACAAGATACGCTTGGAGATTGTGTTAATTCAGTCTCAACCCTATCTATCGTCTCCTACAGGGACTTAAATCCATGTCATGAGATTCCAAGCGCAGCCATTGCTTGAAACGTTTTTCCGAGTTCATCGATTTCATCGATGGCTTACGTTTTCTTTGCCGCCACGATGAGAAAATTATCAATTAGAGAAATAAGAAGGAAGGTTCAGAGAGAGGATAACCACCCTATTGAATATTATGTCACTATTTTATCACCTTATACTGCCTAAACAGATCGAAATGGCGTCGCTTCTGTTTATTCAAAGCGAACTTCAATTTATCTTGGAAAAAAAAAATGGCTCGAAAAGGGGGAGGGGGGGAGGGGGAGGTTACTAATCTTTCATTTCTTGTTTTGCTTCCTTAAACCTAAGTCCATGGTAATTTTTTCACTCGACTGTTTTAACGGACATTGCAATCAAGTTATTTGGTAGCGCTAGGCGAAGATCAAGTTGTGTTGGTAGGAGTCTCGCACAGAGATATCGAGTAGTTCTTAAAGAATTAATGTTATGACAACTCCATACATATGTTGTAAGAGAATCGAAATTTTTAGTTGTTGATAATCATGTTGTTAAAAAATAGCTGCGTCACTGTTGACATCATCCTGTCCTACAAAGGTTACATTGTGGTTAAAAATGAGATCTTCAACTATGTCTGTAATCCATGCATGGCCATGATGTAGGGGTTAACTCAGGAACAAAAGAATTGATGAACTGATAAAGTGTTCAGAGTAGTGGCGAGGGGGCTACTTTTCGGGAATTTTTCATCATACAGTACTCTGCAGTTTTTCACCATAAATGTTAATCTTTTATTCAGAACTTCGAAGTACTTTGAGGTACCACTAGACATATTCTTAAATTGGAAAATTGTGAGGTCAATCACCGTACTAGTCTCCAGTAAAGGCTGGCTAACCCCAAAACTCCCCTTAAACTCTATTCAAGATGATGGCATAAATTACCCAATATTGATTCAATTCATTTTCATTATTTTCCGTTATGCGTGGCACAATTTAAAACACGGCTTCTAGAATAGCATGGCACGAAAAAAATTGGAACCCCCCTCCTCCCCTCCCACGAATGTATTTCGGGCAGTGAGAGGAATCTAATCTTAGAATCTTAGACTAATCTCCTTAATTATTTTGTGGTTTGGTTGACGTGGATACCATGTCTATGATACATTATCTTAAGTGATCTCAGAGGTCAATTACCCGTAAGGACGTTCCTGTATAAGTAAATCGTAGAGGGATTACCGTCTGTTTTCGAAATGATCAGTATAACTTACAGAATGCAGACCTTTCTTTTCGTCCTTTATAACTCGCTCAGGTCGTCTTCCAAGACAGTTTGTTCTCTTCGAAAATATGCTTTTCCCTGCAATATTTTAACACGTACTCAAGCAACAACACATGGCTAAACAGCACAGCACGTTTCCTTGCTGATATCCCACGACTGAAAAATGCCGTGTGTTCCTTCGAACAAAAAATGCAAAGGGCCGAAATATATCTTGCTAACTACCCAGAGTATGTTTGGAGAAAACTTGCTTCTATGATGCTTTCCAAATAAACTGTAGTCCAGCAAAGAAGCATGAATGTCGGCGTACAAACCAATCCCGAGGTCAAAGCTGCAAACAGCCTCCACTTATACATACTACGATCTTATGATCTATTGCAATGAGGTACTAAAGTTTAAACGGAAAATGGTACGTTTCCAGATATGAGTCAAGAAACGTCCTGAACATGAGATTCTAAGTTAATGCCATAATTGTTATCTTATAAAGGAGCTGCATAGTCAACAAGAGGATTACGAACTCATCTGGTAATGGACACACGATATGCAATCTGAACAGCCCAAAAAAAAAAAAAAAAAAGGCAAGTAACACACCACTTGGAGAAAAGCTTCTTCTCACTTAGGGGCGCAAAAAAACAGATGAACGTGATAATAAATTTTATCTAATAATGTAACAATATTAGGCAATGGTACATCTAGTCTAGTTTTTCGATTTTTAACTGACCATTGAAAAAAATCACAGTCGTCAACAAATTAAATTTTCTTATCATCTTTTTTGCCTAAATTTGGATGGTGATTCACCCTTCCTTCACCCTTCCTTAAATTAGCTTCTAAGAATACGAAGCTAGTATTTACGAACTGTTTCAAGCGGGGAAGTAAAAACTATGCATAGTTCTCTCAATAGCAATTTCTGTATTAAATCTCTTGGTCAGGGCCTCCGATTTTTGATCCCGGAAGCTGAATCCTAAGGTGAAGTAGTAAAATACATAGATTAGAAATATATCACCAAAAAATATTATTGTAATCATTAAAATACATTGCTCCTGATGCCTAAGAATAGACAGCAAAATCTAATTATCTCGTCATTCCGGTAACTAAAAATATCTCAACTAGTAACAAAACTAGGTTTGGTTAAGAAATAGAATTGACATAAACTAAGCTACAAGCAAACTGATCAACCCCTCTTCTACATTCAAGTGTACCATGGGCAATGTATAGTTTTCTCACAATATTAAGTTTTCTTACATGTCCTAGTCGTCAGTGCGACAAATTACAGGACTTCCTCTGCTTCTCCAGGAAGTTCAATAGCTTCCTTGAGGCAATGCGAAGCTGATGGGCGTTCATCTGGTTTTTTGTTCCAGCAACTCTCCATCAACTCTTTCCAACGGCGTGGGGGCTCATTACAACCTTTCACATGTTCTGAGCGAAGGCCCTCATCCACCATGGCAAAGAGAGCTACATGACTTGGTATGTTACTGACGTCACTGAAGGCCTGCTGCTCATACCACATCTCCCATAAAATTATCCCCAGGCTGTATATGTCTGCTTTCGTGTCATATAGCTGAGAGTGGAACACTTCCGGTGCCATATAAACAGGTGTTCCCGCCAAAGTTCCTGTGATCTTGTTCACAGCCTTGGAAACGCCAACGTCGGCTATCTTCACTGTATTTGTTGCTGACAGCTTTTAAATTGAAAATAAATAAATAAATAAATAAAGCGCAGAAGGATGATCTAGTATTATGTCATGGTCATCACAATATAACAGAATTGTTTTGAGGATTCTTTCTCACTGAAACTCATGTTAAAGGAATTATAATTTGTTGTTTTATCATAATTCGAATAAAACCTAAAAATAGCTCAATGCTGGTCGAACTAATTCTTCCTTTCTATTTGTGTCTCGTGCAATGAAGAGATATTTAGGCCTGAAAAAGAAAAACAGCTTTACCCTCTGAAATGACCAATCTTAGCATTAAAAGCTTGGTCAGTGACAGATTTTGCAAGGGCCAAAGAGTTGCTTAAAGTACCCAAATGAAAAGTTTAGTCTGATAAGTGCGGCGTGTATGTTAAATCGTCAATAACTATAACCTTTCTCTCAGTTTCATACTAATATATTATCCAACGTGAGATCTCTGTGAACGACTCTTTGATCATGATTGAAGGACAAGGCAGCGACTATCTGCTTTATCCATTGATAGGCGTCTCTTTTGGCATCGGTATTTATGGACTTGGCAAGGGCTCTTTCTGGATTACTGGAAATGCGATTCTTTAAATTTCCCGTGCAGTATTCCATGACTATTATTACCCGGGTTTCGCTATCTTCCTTGAGAAGCGACATGCCATGAAAAGTGACAACGTTGGGAAGCTTTAATTTTCTGGTGAAGAAAGTAAAATAACAAAAGTTTCAGTCATCGTAAGAAAATTTGAAAAGATAAACGTGCATGAAAATTTTCAAAATTAAAGAAGAAAAGCTGTAGAAAGTCATGTTGCTAATTTACTTTCTTTAATTTCATAGGAAGGGGAAAAAAATCCTGATCATGTTTTCGCGTATCGTCTCTACAAGTGGAATATCAAAGAAATATCCCCTCACCAGTCTTCTGGCGATCTTAAGACGGAAGGTAATCCTCCGCAAGTTTTCCCGAACAGCGCTTAGTCAGGTTTCCCTAACAGTACGCTGGAATATCATTTCGACTTCTGGTTGCAAAAAGCATTAGAGTACCGGCTAGAACTTCAACGCTAACCTCTCGATGGGAAGGGCAGCGTGCAAATCATAAGGTTACCCCGTCGTAATTTTATAATGACACGCCCGAGGATCAATTAAATAACATATTTAATGGTGATTGAAACCACGAATAGTGGTTGTGCAAAAGTCCTGTATGCTTTAAAGAGCCTTTCCCTTGGGATAAGGCTTTTTTTCCTCTTACTTCTTCAGCCAGTCTGTGTATCAAATGCATTTTAAGTAATGGAAATTTAGGAAAAATTAAAATACTTACTTTAAAAGTTCAATTTCATTTATTATGTCACAGGCATTATCTGCTTTAAGCGGCGCAGTGCAAATCCCAGACAGTCTGAGTGGCCTTTTAGGTCCAACATCTCGCTGCTGATACCGGCTGCAAGACCCTCTTCAAATCCAAAAACGGCCAACCGACCTCTGATCTCAGAAGCTACATCCAACATCGGTACATAAGTGTCTTTTACGTCTTTTTTTGACCGTTTTTCCTCCAAAAGTTGTTAACACAACAAGTTGTCAGCCTCAATCATCTCTGGAATACGGGTTTCAATTTGCTTCAAACACAGAGCGGCATCTCTCAGTTGGTCCCTCACGAAGTTCATGAGCGCAGCTTCTTCTTTCGTAACACAACTCAAGTATTCGGTGGATGTTTCTCTCATGAAAGCACACTTTTTCTCATCATATTTTCTGATCTTTCCTTTGTCTTTCAACTTGCTGATAATCGCCATTACGCCAACCTTAGGGGCACCAACCACCAAGATAATCAGAGAAATCGGAATCCAGATAGGATTTGTAAAAAAAATGGCAATCTTGTCTGTTATGGTGAGTTCGAAGCCTGCTTCCCGTTGATCTTGTGGTATGTTCTCGTCAGATGATAAAGCTCCTTGTAGAATACGGAGTTTTCCTTCAAAACGATTGTACCGTTCCTTGAAGTGCCGAACAAGAGACTCGCACGTATCTGCAAACGCATGGTTGTCTTCTTCCCAACGTTTTATGATCTTTTGCAGGCGCCGTCTGTCGACCAACTGTTGGCTGTCTGTCGGGCGACTGTTGGTCAACCGTCGGCTGACATTTGGTCGACCGTGAGCTGACAGTCGGCCGACAGACAGCCAACAGTTGCTTGACCGTCAACCGACAGTCGGCCAACAGACGGCCAACAGTCAGCCGACAGTTTTTGTTGTTGCAGACTTTTACCGTTCTTTTGTATTATACAAATACTAAATATTATTTTAACTTTTTACATATCAATAAAATTTATCGTTGCATTTCATGTTAACATGTTGCAACAACCCCACCTTCCTGTAAATTCAATTAATGGCAAACATGAGAAAATGCCATCTTAAACGTTTCAACCTATTTAATAAAGCCACTAATAACATCAACTCAACTTTAACCTAAATAGAAAACTTGATTGATGTTTGGAATTGATTTCTATGATGTGGAAATGAAATCCAGTTAGAGAAACTCTTCTACAGCCGGTGCTGAAGAGTTTTATTGCAGTTTTTATTCAGTATAATGAAGGGCTGGAAATAAACTAACAAGAGCTCCGCTTTTAGGCTTGGCAAAATCTATATATTAAAGAAATGAGTCAGCCAGTCTCTTCGTTTTGGTGGATGGCAGTTGATATTTCCGTTTCTTTTCATGGTTGTATGTTGGCTTGTTGGAGGCTGGAGTTAGGTAGTGGATCTTGCCAGAAGAGTTGTTAACTTTCGACTGAAAGAGTTGGAAAATCAATTTTCTTGATGATCTTGTAGGTTGTCTATTCCGGCAAGCTGAAGGGCATTTGCGAATGATATCCTTGGAATATGCACCAGAGAACTTTCCTCTGGACTCTCTCTAGTTCAACTTGTAGATACTTAGGTAATGCGTAATGTAACATTGAGCATGCGTAGTCTAACGCAGATCTAATACATGCACAGTAGTAAGCTACAAGATCTTTGGAAGGAACATATGCCCGTTTGAGCTGAACAAAAAAATAGTGTTTTGGAGATGATCTCGTAACAAGTTCTTCGATGATCTTTCCAAGTTAAGTTCGAGCTGATCGTAAGTCCGAGTAACTACTTACTTCAATCTCGTCTGCAATTTCCACATGAATATTGAAGGAAATGTCTCGCACTATCAGTAGTTCTGCAAGAATTTCAAGAAACACACTTCGATCAGCTTTAGCCATTGGTTATTTGTTTGCTTGGTTTGAGGGGCGCCCTCAACCCTTTTTTTTTTAACCACAAGCGTCCGAAGCTCACGTCGATTGATTTATGAAAGCGTCACGCGTTGTGTAACCCGGTGTTATGTTACGAGAGGAACTGTTGAGAATTTGAACACGTTATAATAAATAGTATGGGAAACGGAATATGGTCCATTTACAATGATAACTATTTCGAAATATGAACATTCTACACGTAAGTCAATAGAACTTACTCACATCTTGTGTTTCCGTTGTAGTTTCTGGCGATTTCTGCCGTTCAAGCTTGCTTTGCTGTCACTGTTTCGTGACGTCATGACGGACTAAACTGTCTATGGCCCGGACTGTTTGCTGGGTACTGGTTTTTAAATAAATGATAAGCAATTATAAACACCAAACGAACGCCTTGTTAATTTCTGCTCCCGCTTCCCGCCCTCTCTCGCCCCCGTCTCCTCCCGAGCTCCCGCCTTCTGTCCCTCTCCACTGTCTAGTTTTGTACGTCAAATACGTAACAAGAACCCGGGCACCAACACATCAATTATCTTATTACGCATTTACATGATGAATACCTTCTCGTGCATGTAAAAGAAAGTCAATTCATGATATATTTTTAGACAGAGATAGAACAAAACTGACTCTCTCTCCCCTACAAAGTTATAACTCCACGTCGCACCTCATTTCCCGCAATTGCGTCGGGTCTTAGTCCACAATGTAAACAGGAGTGACCTCATCTATATACAATAGAAATAACCAAGCTAAATTTAAGATTCTAGCATTTATAAATTTAGTTTTAAAATCTACATGCTAAGGTTTTGAGTACTGCTTGTTTTATTAAATTGATTTCTTTTGAATTTGTTGACATCGATTTGGCAACAAGAGTGCAAGAGAATTCAGGAGAAGTCGCTCCCTGTTGGGTGCGTTTGCCATATTAATCATTTAACGTCTGGAACTGAATGAAAAATATATCTCCAATTTTTCATCTATTTTGCTCTGGGAAGAACCGAATTTCTACATAGCAAATTAAATAGAGAGACGAATAAACGAATTAACAAATGAAGATACGTTAACCAATGAAAAAGTAAAACTCTTTAAAAAGGTGCAACGTCATGCTTTATTTACACCTGGCAATAAACAATAAGAATCCGTTTATGAAATGCTCCCCATAATCAACTGAAGCTCTTAAAGTCTTTTTCGCCGCTTTGATGTGTTCTTAGAGTTCCTAGCCAGTGAAAACTCGACACTATGGCTTGTAGCTCAACGAAAACTATCGATGAAATCGATGATCTGTATGAAATGGTTAAAATCATGGAGGCCCTTGATATTTCGTCGAGAGGGTTTAAAACGTTAGACGAGTTGAAAACGCAGGTTATCACTACATTAAACCAGTCTCAAACTAAGCCGAACTGGGCCGCAGGTCAGGTAAGAATTCGTTTGAACTTCTATGGTTAAAAAGGAAATTTTGCTTTCGGGGAGTAATTTGAAATGGCTTTTCATCAAGATATGCTTTACCCACTACGAATGTATACTCAGTGACTCGTGACACTTGCATATTTTGACCGTAATGGTTCGTACTCGTCAGACAAATTTGCACCCATTTTGGTGCCAGTCCCTGCGTTTAAGATGGTCTTCTCTGAATATAGAAACCTTTTCTTCTCATACAGATGGGGAGGGAATTGTCCTTACCGCCAAGCCGACAACAACTGAGACTTTTATTGAGGAAACTGTCTGCCAGTATTAGACAACAGTGGTAACGCGGAATTCAATTATGATGAGATCCCCACCTTTGTTTTATGCCAAATGTGTAGCGTTTTAATGATATGATAAGTGGCAGAAAATGCATGTGTGACACCTCTAACCTGGTTAATGATCAAATGTAAGGAGTAAAGCGCTCTATTGGAAGGGCAAGCAAGGGGTTCTCTCCTCTAAAAACTACGAAGTTAGTGTCGGTCAGAATTCGTATATCCGTATCGAACGATTGACTGCTCAAATACAATACCTATAGCCTTTAAAGGAATTTTCAATCATACAACTCTAGCTTTCCACTCCGATATTGCAGGGATTTCTTCTTGAAGAATGGAACCTTTTTCAACCCTCCTGTTTACTTCAGATTTGCTGTCTTGCTTTCATCGATCTGCTTGCAGCATATTATTACTAATTAAACTCATTAATCTTGCAACAAAGCGACTTTCAGCCTACTGATTTAAAAGGGAGGAGAAAACATATGTGTATAAGTGTTCAAAATTCTGTATATATGATCTCCAGATTTCGGTATGGATTTCTTAAAACTTAATTTATCGTCTTTAAAATAATCATCCACTTTCACCTTAATCAAGTGCTATTTTTTAAATCTAATTTTTTCCTCTCCAGGCATTCTCTATTCTGTCAGAAGCAAGAGATCACGACATGAGAAAGAAGAAAATGTTATCTGGTCTCTATGCTGAATGCGAGGAATGTTTGACTGAAATGGACGCCAAAATTCGCTCACTGCTTAAGCGCCAAATAGGTAACTTTGACGAGCTGATACGAAAACACCAAATAGATATGAAGAGAAAAGAATACGTCCTTCTAGTAGCAGGTAAATGACCAACATATGGCGGTACTACTATATATTGACCTATTTTCCTTCTTTATCGTTTTGGATCGGCTGGTGAACACTCAGGGGTTCGGAATGGTCCTTACTTGGTTGGATTAAACTTTACGACTGAAACTGCAAAAAAAAAAAAAAAAAAAAAAAGGAAAGAAAGAAAGAAAGAAAAAACAAAAATAACATCAATAACATTTATATACCCGCATTCTTTGCAAAGAAACCACAAACACACGTTACGACAGAATCTCTTTGGATTCAATTTATCCGAAGTGTTTCAAAAAAGAAAAATAAACAAACATGGCTCGAGTGCCATAATTTATACTATTTATTATTTACTGTTTGAGACTTGCTGAGGAATGTTGGCTTTTTGTTGTTTTTACACAACCCAGCAGCGCTCGGTTCGTTTGCCAAAATCGAGGGTCAATGTTTTTCGGTATAGTACCTGCGTTTGGTTAGTTGGAAGATAGTACAACGTAATAATTATTTTTGATATCACTGCATTCCAGGCGAGACTGGCTCTGGGAAGAGCAGCTTAATAAATCTAATTCTGGGAGAAGAACTTCTTCCGTACTCAGTACTCAGTACAACTTCCGCAATTTGTGAATTGCGATATGGGGAGAAACGTAAAATAGTGGCCCATTTCAAAGACACGGATCCTAAAACAGGGCATGAAACTTGGGAATATTTTCTGGAGCAACCAGCAGAAGCCTCTGATGAAAGTTATCTCCAGCAGCTCTCTCCATTTGTCCACGTGAAGGATACAGATCGAGAAAAAGGTTCCGTTTATAAAAAGATCGAACTCTTCTGGCCCCATCAACTCCTGCAAGTAGCTACACAGTGTTCCTTCAAACTTTGCTAATTAACTAAGAGATGGAATAAATATTTTCAATTCCTATTTTTAGCTTAGATGGACAAGATTAGGATCAGAAGGTCATTGAAAAGGGCAAACAGAATTTTAGACTAAAAAAAATTTGTTATACTTGATGGACAAATAATATCACATCAAATGCCTGGCTCATGCCTCATAATAGATAAATACAGTGCAAAGTTTTGAAAAACATGCGTCCTTACCCATCGACTGATTTAAACAAAACCCGAAAAACTCATCGACTCTCGCAGGTAGCTACACAGTGTTCATTCAAACTTTGCCAATTAACTAAGAAATGGAATGATTTTTTTCAATCCCTACTTTAGTTTAGATGGATAAGATTGGGATCACAAGGTCAGTCAAAACGGCAAACACGATTATAGTATCTAAAATGGTGTGGGACTAAAATCATTTGTTATGCATAATGGACAAATAATGTCACAACAAATGCTTAGAACATGGCTCATAGCTCACAATAGATATATTCAGTGCTAAATTTTGAAAAGCATGTGTCCTTGCCCATCGACTGTTTTAACCCAAAGGAAAAAATCCTTTTCCTGAGGACTGAATTATAGAATTTTCCATTAATCAAAACTAAGAAATTATACACCTCGAGTAAGGTTAGTCGATGGTCAAACTGAGGATACTCCAGTTAATATGAAAAGAGTATTAACTTTCTCGGAAATTATACATTATGAGGGCATCCCTTTTTAAAGACGGGGTTGTATTTTTCATAACCAGATTGGATGACACGCTATATTGGTCAAAGAGTTTAAAAATAATAATGATAATAATAACAATAAAACCTCCATTTGATTTTTTCGTTTCAGAAAGGCGTTGTTATTGTTGACAGTGGAATTGGAATTGGAGAATCCGAACTCATGGATGAAGAGGTCGTGAAGTATCTACCTGAAGCTTTCGCATTTATTTACGTCATCAAAACTGACAACGCCGGAGGAGTCCAGAAAGACAGGGTCAGTGTTAGGAATAACCACCATTTCCAAATGACAACAATTTAGTAAGCTGTGAGGAGCCCTGTTGATGGGGCTTTGATACGTCAGAGTTTGACCCATTGTCCTTTAGAAGATTTCAAACCGTTACAGTGATACTGAATAAGATTAAACTTTTATTTATTTTACAGCTCGAAAAGTTGCTGGAAGAAGTGAGAAAAGTGACTCTTAATGAAAAGGGAGAATTTTCATCGAAGAGCGCCCTGTTCGTGTGTAGCAAGTGGGACCAAATACCACAGAAAGAAATCGAAGAGGTAAAGAAATACGTGATCAGAAAATTGGAAAAGTGTTGGCCCGATCTTGTTCCAGAGTCACAGATCATCTACATGTCAGCAAAAAAGGCGATTGACGCCCAGAAATTGGGAATCATCACAAATGACTTCCTCTCCTTGATGAATGGTATAAGATCCACGGTCATGAAGAGCATAGAGGCCAGACTAGAAAGTTATTGGAGGTAAGAATTGACTGAAAACGTTATCGTCGGGTGAAATGATTGTGATAAATGCCCTAACTCATTCCCTAAGACACTTCAGAACTCATCATCACCATAAATTTACCCATCGACTAAACCTTTCCCAATTTTCGATAAGCCTGTATCCTTCATACTGGGGTTTTGTACCGCGTTGAAGGAGAGGCGTTTTAAAATCTGGTCTTGGTATGGGATACACGGGTCATTAGATATGAACGATTTTTAATCTCGATTTTCCCACTGAACTTTTCTCTTGGCGTGATTGTGAATAAAGCGAGGTTGGAATAATAAAACATTTGCAATGGTTGCTCATTGGGTGTTAAGTAAAAATGAGGACAAAAAAGCCTATCTAAATTTGGAGCGAGAATTGCCTAATAGGTAATTCATCGAGTGCCGTTATGGCTTTTACAGTTAAGTGATTAGAAGTAGTTTAAATTCTACACCAGCTACCAGGTTGAACAATTTGTATATGGGAGTTATTTTTTACTTTGATTTAAAACACTAGACACTTTCATAAATGCTGCAGAATAGTCATGACCGAAAAATTCAAGAAACTGAGTGCTAAATTATTTTAGCAAGAAATCATAAGCTATGCCCACATCTATTTCAGGAGCTTCCATCAAATTCTATAGCGTAAATTAACCACTTTATTGTCATTTGAATCTGAGAGGGCTCTGTTGTTTTGGTTTCTTTGTTTGCTAGATCTTTAATAATAATAATAATAAATAATAAACTTTATTTACGTGTCAAATAAGATAGCAGTTTCCCACTAAGTAAGGACACCTAAACTAAACTAATCTGATCTATATAAAACTAAGCATTAAAAATTTATTGGAATATGATAAAAGAGCTCTTCCCATATAAAACTACCCTACCCCGAAATAGTAGACCCCGTGTTTATAATACCCTACCCTGTATAATAAGATAATAACCTTAATATAATGAGATAATAAGATAATAATAATTACAATAATATGATCTCGATAATATTTAAAATATTTAAGATTTACATAAAATACAGTTCTTGCAATTATTCGAAGAGATTAAACTTTGTATATCTACTTTATGTAAAGCGTTTTTAAATTCTTGCAGCGTTCTTAGTGCTCTTATTTTTCCATCTAACTTAGACCAGATTACTGGACCTAAGTACCTAAGAGAGTGCTTACCATAGCGCGTAGTACTAACTCTAGGGATAATGAAATCATTGTTTCTTAAATTATATTTGTTGTTATTAATAACAAACAGGTTCTTGATATTATTAGGCCACAGATCATTTTTAACTTTAAACATTAACACAGCTATGTCATGTAATCGCCTATTACGTAAGGTTTTTAAATTAGCCCTCTTAAGGAGGTCGCTATATGATGATATGCTATCACAATAAACAGCTCTAAGGGCCCGTTCTTGTACCCTCTCTAACTTTCTAGAATCACTAGCTTTGCAACAATTCCATATAATACTACAGTAAGTTAAATAAGGCAGAATAGCAGCCTTAAAAAGTTGTAATTTAGCCTTGGCTGGGATTAACTTCCTTAATCTATTAATTACACCCACCCTTTGACTGCTTTTTTTACAGATGTTACTTATGTGATCAGAAAAATTTATATTATCATCAATATTTACACCCAATAACTTAATAGAATTATATGATTTAATGGCAGTTCCGTTAACATTTAGCTCTAACTGTTCATCCTTTAGTCTACCTCCTTTCAATATCATTGATCCGTATTTATCAAAATTCCCTTTGAGAAAGTTCTTTCCTTCCTCTCTCTTTCTTTCTCTCCCTTTATTGTTATCTTTTTAGAAACGACTTTCGGGGATAATTATAGAGACTCAATAGGGCATGCATACTAGCATACTTTAAAACTTGGATGCTTTGATACTTCATTCTTCGAGAGGAGGATCCCTTTTGTCCTTGTCTGTTCTGAAGAAAGGAAGCAAACGTCGAGTCTTTATCCCTGGTTCCATATCAGTTATTGAATATATCTATTTATATTTTAGATGGCTTGATTACCTCCTTTCACGAATAGTTTATCAAGCAAAGGCCTTTGTTATGAATGCCAAAAGAGATCGTGACAAGGTCGCCAAGAAAATGGAAAGAATCAATAACCGTCTGTCAGCTATTGCAAGCGAACAAGGAAAAGTGGTGGAAGATCTCCGAAAACACCTGAAAGCTAAAATCGACGAGGCAGTTCAAAAGCTCTCCATATTTCTCAAGTCAGATGATGTCAAAACACGTTTCATCTCATGGAACTTGGATGAGGTTCCTGAAATAGAGGTCTCGTGGCAGGTCACAGAAAACAATATCAATAAAGCATTGCAAACAAGGTTGCAGGAAATCATAGAACATTGGGAGGAAGATGAACGAGTATTTGCCGATGCTCGAGATTCCCTCCTGCATTATTTTCAGGAGCAGTACGATTTTGTCGAGGGGCAAATCCGGAATCTGCAAGATAGTGTCACGACTGATGACCCAATTAGTGTTTCAGAAGCTGATCCCCCTGCTGAAAGCTTTTCTATGGCAGCAAAGTTTGCTATCGGTTTTACCAGCCCAATCTGGGTTCCACTCACTCTAATTGCTTTGGTGATTGGCAGCCCAATAGTCGGCATAATCTCGATCAAAAACAAAGTTGAAGATTCAAGGAGACTTAGGAGGTACGAAAAAGAGAGATGCTCTCTCATGGCTGAGAGGTCAGTAGACTACCTCAACAATGCCACAAATGAGTCCATTCTCAAGGTGTTCGTAAAGAGCCAACTAAGCGAGGCAAAATTGTGTCTGAAGCATATTGAGGCCCGTATTCCAGAGCTAATACATGCTGACAAGATGTTGTATAATCAACTCAGGCATGAAACGCGGTCACACAAAGAGATACAGGAGTCATATCAGCCTGTCCTGAATCGAGCATTGGAAATCAGAGGACAGCTGGCGTTATTTGGCCTGAGAGAAATCCGTACCGCTGATATCAGCAGCCTGGAACTTGAGTGGAAAGCAGACATGTCTCTTCTTCTTGGTCAAGGAGAGTTCACAACGGTGATCGAAGGGAAAATGAAGAGGCATGGTAAGGAGCAAAGTGTTGCATTAAAAATTTGGAACGAATCCCTTGACATCAACAACGCAAGTCATGTTTTGGCAGAAGCGAGTCTTCTAAGGTACGAATTTTTATTGCGGGATTGCATTTTATTTTAAGTCTCCTTGGAACTGCTAAAAACCTATGCAATACGAGTTTCAAAACCATATGTAAATCTAACAGTGAATTAATTTTGCGTGGCCAGGAATACACCCAATTCACAAGGTCAGCGGTGGGCTATTAGAAAAAGGAAGATTGTGTTTGTTACAACAGCAAAACATTAACATTAAAAAGGATTTGGTAGTTTTTCTTGTGAAAAGAAATATAGTTAACTATAACTTCACTTTTTTTTTTCATTCATTTTTAACTCGTGAATTGCGCGCATGCGCAAGAGCGAGTTATAGATACCATGTGGGGAATGGCATTCGCTCGCTCGATTGGTCGATTCCTGTAAAATTTTTTTAGATTTTAGGCTTTTGAGTGCATTTGATAGTTTTTAGCGAGCAGTAAACAGAACAAATGGCGACCTTTGTTGCTAAGAATAGTGGTGGTTTGAAAAAGAAGCCAATGATAATCTTAAAAGAGTTTTTTTTTCGTTTTATTTTCAACAAGCGGCGACAGCGACTGGCGGGCATGCAAGGATTCACACTGAAATAACAGAACAACCTTCGTTTTTCATAAAATTGTAATTTACAATCCTTGAACTCGAAAACAATCCGAAGATTCATTGAAAATATTACTTACTGCGAAGCACTCGAAGTTTACAGATGTTCAAAAGCTTTTTCTGTTATGGCATGAGATTGAGGACAAAATTGATCATTACGTTTCGTCGCGTGTGTTTTTCCTGTTTGAAGCAACAAAAGATGCCGGCGACTGACAAAATTACAAGTTAACACGAAAATCAGATAACACCTAAACAAACAATTTTAGCTACCGATTTTCAGTGAATTTTTAAAGAACAATTTTCTTTTAAGTTTCAAGACAATTTGAAGATTCAACATACATACAACGTACTAAAATGCAAAAGTTACACACCACAAAATTGATAAATAGGCCCGAAATGAAATTCTATCTTGTTATTGATTATACGTTGCCTAGCACGTGACTTAAATTTACCCAGGCAGAGATCCAAAATGACGGTGGCAGGCTTGGCTTAGTTATATCACTCAAAACTAGTTCCAGTTTGTCTGATTTGATAAAGAGGGAATCGTTAATGTTTTCATTAAGACAGTATTGCCTTGATTTTCTAATATTTACAGCGAAAGACAGTAAATTTCACTTTTCACCCACATTTACTTCCAACCTTTTCTTTTGAACCAGTAACAAAAATGATAGACGTTTAAAACACATGACATCATCCACCTTGTCAAATGTAATAGCATGATCATTTCAATTGTAATGCCTTCTTATCCCAACGTTACTTTGTTTCTTTGCTACATTAGCGAACACTGAACTACTGCTCGTACTCTAGATATGACAATCAACCACAAAATTCCCTAAACCAGATAACATTAAACATCATGTGTCAAAATCATGTGTCAATTCACGAGTTTGCTCACAGAGCACTTTGATTTTTTTATTCGATCATTCCTGTACTGCGTTTATACTGAGACGAAAATTTGACTAAGTAATGCTTGACTGTGTGTAGTTGATTTCTTTCTCAGGAGGTTGGACCATCCTCACATTGTGAAGTTCTACGGTACATCTCTCCTCAAAAGAGATGGTGAGGAAAGAGTAGTAACGGTGCTGGAAAAGTGCAAGGAAAACTTGTGGACCCACATCTTTAATAATCGAGCTTTTGTTCCTGCAGAAACAAAAGATATTGCAAATATTAAAACAGTTAAACGATGGGCAAGAGAGAGATCTGATGCACTCGCGTTCATACATAAAGAGGGGGTTGTCCATCGAGATCTCACATTGGAGAATATCTTGGTATGAGAGAATAGTTAAAAAAGATTGATGATTTTTGTTAAGGCAACCCTGAGACTTAACAGTCAACTGCCGCAACGGAAATGTCGATCTCGTGAATTATTTGTTAAATTTTTCCTGACGAAATATTACTTTTCCTACAGCAGCACTCAAAATTCACAGAAATTTTCGGTAAAATAAGTTTTTTGCAGAGTGCAATGAGTTCCCGTGACACTGCCGTAAATATGCTTTCCATTTAACTGCCCACCTCGTAATGTGTTCTTAAAAGCATCGCGATGTTCATACAATGTTTTCTTTTCAATTAAAGTTATCAGCAGACAACTCAGTAAGGATTGCCGATGTTGGGGAGTCCAAAGAGGCAAAGGATATCACAGGATCATGGGCTGGAACAGTTCTTTATATGGCACCTGAGGTGTTTCAGTCAAAGAGATATAGCTTCCAAGCAGACATATACAATCTTGGAATAATTTTGTGGGAGATGTGGTATGGAAGACAGGCCTTCGCCGGACTAAAGGGGCTAGCACTAAAAGACATCTCAAAGAAGATAGCTGATGACGGTTACCGTCCAGAAGTCGAAAGCAGCAATTATAGGAAACCTCCGCTTCCCTGGAAAAATCTAATGACCCAGTGTTGGAGTCAAGCCCCAAACGAACGCCCTTCAGCTAAGAAATGTTACATGGAAATCAAGAAAAATTATGAGGCAGTCACTAGACTGTGATACCAAACTTGACTCTGGGCAGCAACGAGGCAATGCGATTAGATTATTTTTCTAATCGTGATGGTGAACTGTTTCTACTTCTCTGGTGAAGTCTATAAGCTAAAAACGTATCCTTCGCAAAACTATCGTAGTGCATAGTTGTCTATGTCTGTTGTCGTCTACTGAACCAAAAGTAACATATTTCCGTCTTCTTTGCCACTGACTCAGTGGCAGAGAAGACGGCCTACCTAACAAAGTTAGCAACGTTAGCACTTGATGCAGTTTGTGGTCGTTTCGCCTATAATTCGTTTCGCTAGTGACCAGTTCATGATCAGTAACCGGCGTCTTAAGTCGTTTCGTTAACGTCTCATTGGTCATTTCGCCAACGCATTAAAAAACATTTAAGAGTGAATGTCTCTAAAAATCAAAGAAAAATAAAAAAATCACGGACACGGTCAAAAATCGTTTTGTCTCATTTTTTGTTTACAGGTAGCTATAGGTACTACTTAAAGTGAAGTGAGGTTAGTTTGTGTAAATATTCATTTTAACGAAAAATAAACCGTTACTAATTGCATGATCGAAAATGAGTGCGTGAGAGCTCTAAATTATGCAGTTTTCAGGCCGTCCTTGCATGACCTAAAATGCAACAGCTGGACTTCTTTAGCTGTAAATATATACATGTGGCCTTCCATTACCAAGGTATAGTGATATTTTTTGTATCGTGTCCTTCCTGACTGTCCCTAAACTTTTGTTTATTAACATCTGTAGTTTGGGGAAAACAACACGGGGGTTAATTACCAGAAATAATGACATCGACTTGTGTTGTGTTCATTTAAAATTGAGGTACCCGATACGGTGGTTAATATCTTTTAATATCTTCAGAAGGGATAGGAATTGGTCTGGATGCGATCTAAGGAAAGGTGTTGCTATCCGGTAATCTTTCAGTTATTGATGTTTATCGTTCTAATTTATACGAGTTTATTTGCCTCATTGGATTTATAGTTCCAGCGGGCAAGAAACTCAAGCCTACTCGTAAGAAAGTGCAATTTAGGGATTGTCGTGAGCATAGGAAGCAAGCTCTTTACCTTGCCCTCGCATCAGAATGCTGGGATGATGTTTTGGAGGCGGATAGTATCGAAACAGCTGTGAACATCTTAGAATTGAAGATCCTGTCAAATATTAACTGGTGCATGCCTTTACGAACTGTTTCCCTTTCGTCCCGTGATCCAAGTTGGATGACACCGCTAGTTAAATACATGCTACGTAGCAAGTCTCGCATCTCTGTTTTACGCACTAATAAGCATAGAGAGCTTAGTAGAAATGTGTTGAAGGTTATTGGCGAAAACAGAAGGATGCTTCTGGAGGGCAAAATGGGGAGCAGAGAATGGTGGAAAAACGTAGACTTGATATCTCAACGCCGGCGGTCCACAAACGTTTCGCTGGATAGAGAGACCGCTCAAGATTTGAACGAGTATTTCGGTGACCTGTGTACGGATGGCGATTACGTTGAGCCCGCGTTACTTGAAATTGGTCCTGAGGTGAAAGTCCCGGAAATTAGTGAACGATATGTATGGAACTCACTGAGTACTCTAAAGAAGACTGCAACTGGTCCTGACCAAATTCCGTATTGGGTGTGGAAAGACCATGCGGAGATCTTCACTCCAATCATTACTAAGCTATGGAATTTGTCTCTCGCTACGCACCAATGGCCTAGATCGTGGAAAAGGGCAAGTATAAACCCACTGCCAAAAGTTGATGTTCCAGTGGCAAGAGGGGACTTCGGGGGATCAACGTAACCCCTGTAATAGCAAGAGCCCTGGAAAAGGCAGTCTATAAGATTCACGCCCAAAGGCCGGTAGAAGAACAGCTGTTGAATAGTCAATTCGCGTATAGAGAAGGAGGGAGCTGCACAGATGCTCTGCTACTTATACAGAATAAGATCTGCAAGTTTCTTGATGATCCCAAGTGCAAGGCAGTGCGGATGTTCGCGATGGATTTCAGTAAGGCCTTTGACTCTGTGAGCCATCAACTCCTTGCTGAGAAACTTAAGAGTCTACCACTTAACCCGTATATCATAAACTGGTGGTTAGGTTTTTGCGAGATAGAAAACAAAGAGTTATTTTCGGGAATCATGTCTGTAATTGGAAAACAGTTAACAAGGGCACAACCCAGGGTAGTGTTTCAGGACCTTATTTGTTCAATATATTTCTTAACGATCTGGAAATTAAATTAGGGAACGAGACACTTGGTTTCAAATACGCTGATGACTGTACGATTATTGCTCCGGTATATTATTATAAAGATCACTCTGTAGACTTAATAAATCAGTTTTACAGTGGGCAAGCCAAAATAGAATGAATTCAAATTCTACTAAATGTTTTTATGTATAAAAGGTCACACTGCTGAGGCCTACAAAAGTATTTTGGCATACCTCAGACTAGTACAATAACCATTCTTGGTCTCACGTTTCAGCCGAACTGCAAATTCAGTACTCACCTAAAAAGAAAAGTTAGGTAAAGCTAATAAATGTTTATACGTTATCAGATGCCTCCGCAAAGAAGGATATAGCCAAGCAGACGAAGATGTTATATTTAATTCCATTGTCCTACCTAATATTACTTATGCTCTATCTGTGCATGGGGCCTCTGAGTCAGAGCTAACTATAGCTCAGTAGTTTTTAGATCGTTGTTTTTAAACGTAGTTACATATCTAAGAAATTAGTGATAGGTGACTTACTTAAAACGCAAGATCACAAAATTTTCGCAAGGTTTCAACTATCCTGAGCCATCCTCTTAGAGCCTACTTCCCTGAGACCAAGACCACGAGGTATAATTTGAAATAAATCCCCTGTCATGCCCGCCATTCGCACAAACCGTTTTAAGAATACATTTTTTAATAGAATTGTTTTTAAGTACAATGTAGCTTTGTAAAAGTGTACTTCCTGTATTAGACTTTTGTATTTGTTTCCACGTATATACTTATCTTATTTAGATACACCTAAGCTTATTTACATCCTTTTTTTAATGTAACATAAGATATGTAATTTTATCTTTTGAACAATAAAGACACTTTTTTGACGAAACCACGGGTTAATTACCAGTGTACGTGTTCGCCATTTTTAATTCATGCCAAACCCGGCCTAATGCAGTGTGGCAAAAATGCTTGTGGTAGTTTCTCAAAATCTCCAGCAATACTATCACGAGGGCTTATAAGGTGAGTCTTCAAATTCATCGTTTCATTTTTCTGGTATCGTCTGCTGTTTTGATATACCAACTAACCAAACTTCGCTAAAATTGTAAATGGCGCCATATTGAAATGAACAAAATCAACATTGCAATGACACACGCAAAGCATTGTTTGAGTCGCAGCCGCACTTACCTTTTTATGTTTCCTTGGACATCAATAGTTCCTTACCTTAGAAATCTTTTATAGGCCCTTGTTATTCCGCTTGGAAGATATTTTCGAAATACTGTTCATTGGTGTAAAGGGGACCGACCGGCTGACTCATTGAAGCCACTGAGCCGGGATGAGTAAAATAAAGTTACTTGTTGTTGTCATTTCCTACTTCGTGTCGCAACCCAGTTACGTTTAGTCTATTTCGATCCTAATTTTGGCTTTTTCGACGTCCCACACTAAAAGGGTCCTGTACAAAACGACAGGTAACGCTAGGGATTTGCCGGATTTTAATTAATTTTTCATAGGTTCCTGTCACTCTGCGTGACATATGATAATCCGTCACGTAACGAGATCAACGAACAATTCATTCTGCCCCACATATAAAATCTAAACAAATATGTTGCCATCGTGAACGAAAACGATACAACAAAGAAATAGACTTTACAAAATTTCACAAATATAAACCGTACAGTGAAAACCTTATGGAACGAAAATAACGATACAATTTTCCCACGGAAAAACAGTGTGATCAGTTAACGAAAGTAAACAAAAAACAAAAGCGTAATAATCGTCGGTGAAAGGAATAAAGACAACGGTTGCTTTAACTCCAGCAGAAAAAGAATGTCTTGTTCTTTATTTGATATTGTTGGCGGCGTTTGTGGTGCAGAGGAACGCGCAAGGCATCAGTCCACTCAGACGGTATCTCTGTCATCATGCAGCAAGGATATCAGAAGCCACAAGCGTTTTTTACAATTTTCAGGTGTTGAGACAGAGATTGAACTTATCTTAGCAAGAAGCGGGATTTTCGAGAAGCCCGTCAATTTTTCGGAAATGACTGTTTGCCCTTTACATCGATCAAGCCTCGGAATCGGATGGAGAAGAGCTAGTAGATTATGTTCTGTGCCACAGGATGTTTCCGGTCACAAAAAAGAATCTAAAGAAGTACCCGCAGCAGAAAGAGGAATTACTTTGCAGCACTCAAAACAAATTTTTGAACTTACGAAAATCCTCGTACCCGTCGGATCAGGTAAGCGACTACAATGAGTCATGATCTTGTAAGAACTGACGTCCCTCTAGTTTATTCTCATTGTATATAAAGATAAACATCCGTATAGCTTCTCATTTCACGCAGGGTAGTTGGCGGGAATCACAGACTTCATATCCTAACTTCAAACCACTTCCCTGTCGCGTAAAACAGTCGCCAAGTTTGACAGGAAATTTATTTTCATGTCTTTTCAGGATTTTTGCAAATATTTTTACGTCGGAAAACACTGGCGTTCACTCAACATTTTCGTCTCTTTCAAAACTTGTTCAAAACCAGTGATGGCTCCTGTCAAAATTAATTAATGGCGTGGGGAACGCTCTAATTGAAATATTCACAGATATTAGAATTACTTTTAAAAATGCCGACAAAAAAGGAAAGGAATGTAAAATACTGACTCGTGACAAGGTTAACAATAGAATGCGTCATCAGTTTGGGATTTGTGGGGCTTTTGCCTAGTTTTTTTCTTTTGCCACATGCAGAGCTATTTGTTCAAGGAGGATGTGCAAGGTTAAAAAGTATAAATTAATTCTTTCTCTCAAAATATTAAAGGAATTTGTGTGCGATGTCGACAGTCCCTAGCAAAAATAAAAAATCAGTTACAGTCGCAGAGCTTGGAGGCCACAGGAGGTGTGGAAAACATCACAGGAGGTCTAAGTGGTCTAACCTTGGTGAGTTTCTTCAAAGTGTTATGAAGAATTTCCATCCAATATAATTAATAAAAATGGAAAACCTTAACGCATTCTCTGAATTCTCCCTTCTCCGCCCTTTTCATGCCTAGGGATTCAACCCAGGTGGGAGAAGGGCGTGTCCAGGCTAACTTGCATGCGCATTCTCAAACGCCGCCATTGCCGCCCGTCAACGACTTGGCAAAACCATACATGGCACAAGAATTGGATAGGCGTGCCCTTCCCAGATAGCATATCACACTCCAGGATATATCCAAATAATAAAGGTTTTAAATTATTATATGGCTTCTCCACATTTTTTTTTCGAAATGCTCCAAATGGAAAATAATACTGAGAAGTAATTGGATAAAGATATCAGAATAGGTTATTAGTCAGTTATATTATAAGGTGAAAATAATCATCGACTATAAACTTCCGCCTTGCATGCGACACCCCGCGCGTGTATACGGTTGATCTCATTTTGAAGCCATCCAAAGCAATGTGTTCACTTTTTCGTCAGGTTGATGAACAAGGGAGTGACTCTGATATTCCTGCCACTTGTGCTGTCACTGTTGGTGATGAAGCATTGCCAGAAGGTTTCACATCCAAACGGCAGAGCCTATTTGTTCCGCAAGAAGATTGCGAAGAGAGTGATGAAAGCTCGAGTCTAGACAACGAGTCCCAGGTGCAACTAAATCGCTTCTTACACCTTCGAGACGTCGGTCCAGTACGTCACACGTTTTCAGTGCCGTGGAATACAGCGCACGAGCGTACTAAACGTAGATACCTACGGAAAGCTCAACAATGTATTTCTGCAATGCTGTCCTGGCACCTGAAAATTCGCAAGAACTGTGGACGGAGCTTTGTGATCGTTACGCTGTATGCAGCGAGAGTCAGGTTGTGGTCGAAGGCAGAAGTGAAAAAGAGACGGACCTTCTTAATGCATTTGCTGAAAGCTACTTGAACGCACAACATTGGAGCACCAGACGGCAAATACTTTCTTTGATGGCAGACAAGTTATCCCTTAAGGAGATGAGGGAGTTTATTCCAACCGTTACTAGCTATCGCTACAACATTGCCCGACGCCACAGGCTGATACATGGAGGAGCTGCTCCTCTTCCAAACCAGGAGAAAAGGAGAATGAGAATTGAACCTGTAAAATTAGAACATTTTGTTTCTTTTATAACAAGTCCACACGTTATTCAAGATGTTCCTTTCGGGGAAAAACTTCTGAAATTGTCGACTGGCGAGATCATAAAAACACCCAATGTTATCAGAACAATGATACCAGAGCGTATTGTCCAGCAGTATCAACAATACTGCTGTGAAACCAACTTTGAGCCTATGAGTAAGAGGACGCTACAGAGAGCTTTGGCCGTGTGTTCTTCATCTGTTCGGAAGTCTCTGCAAGGACTTGATAACTTTTCAGCATCAGGGGTGGAAGCATTTGATGCTTTAGAAAAACTCATAGATAAGCTTGTTGACTGTGGCAAGACTCAGCAATGGGCGAGGGAAATTAAGCAGCAACTTCGTTTGTCGAAGCAGTACCTAAAGGGCGACTAAAAAGTGGGTGCATATTTTATAATTATGCGTTGCCTTTGCAAATGCAGTAAACTTCTTACTATGATTCACGGCTACCTCTTTCTTTCCCTCCAAGTCTTCTTTATGCTTAATTTATCAAACAACAGTTTAAAATTCACTGTAATACGCTTACACACATGTATACAACGCTGAGAATCGGTTAAGTAACCTTTTTGAAATGTCGATCATATGCGCATGCGTTGCTTTGCAACTATACACTGAATCACGCGCTCGTCATTTTACTTTTAATTTTAGGTACATGCAGTGGAGGCCTCTGAGGTTCCCGATCATTGTCGAATTTACGCGCTAAGTGACCCAAGCAATGCTGAATTTCGGGGCTCCTGCGACCATCTCCACAATGAGTCATGTGAACAGTGTTATGACTTACAAGAAGTATTGTGTACCATAGAAGATGAGTGTTCAAGTGCGCTCTCGTCAGCAGAAGATCAAGCTGACATGCTGCATACCATTAAACAGGCAAGGGATGATATCATCAGCTGGAAAGCCCATCAGCTACGTTCAGTCCACCAAGCTGAGGTAAAGCATTCAGTTTTAGCCAAACTCGACAGCCGATCGGTGCTGTTAGTCCAGGACTAGGCAATGAAATATATGCCCCGAAAATATCGAGAGGCACAGTCAGATTGGTTTGCGAAGCGAAGATTGCCATGGCACATTAGCGTTGCCATAAGACGGTCAGGGGATTCTGAGCACTTTGAATCGCAAACACTTGTTCACGTATTCCAAAGCTGCGCCCAAGACAGTGTGACTGTGGCTTCGATAATGCTTGACTGCCTCACTATCCTGAAAAAGGAAATTCCAGAGCTGGAAATGGCTTATTACAAACAAGATAACGCTGGCTGTTATCACAGCGGAAATTCAATCATCTCAGCTAAGCTGGCCGGTGATGCCGTGGGAGTGGCTGTTGTAAGAAACGACTTTTCGGACCCTCAAGGTGGAAAGGGGGTATGTGATCGCAAAGCGGCAACAATCAAGGGAGACGTTGGAAGGTACGTAAACGAAGGCAATGATGTCATCAACGCTCTACAGTTCAAAACAGCCATTGAATCTGGCCAAGGAACCACAGGAGTGAAAGCAAGTTATGTTACTGCCAAACCGTCAAACACCTTTAATATCAAATGGGATGGCATAAGCTTACTCAACAATTTTGAGTACGATGAAAGTGGCGTACGAGTGTGGAGAGCATTCAATGTGGGTTCCGGTAAAGTAGTGCCATGGGCCAAGTTCGAAGGAGTCATGAAGCAGCCCGAAAAATTGGAAATCCTAGACCCGCCATCGCCAAATCCAAGTGGTTCACCGACGTTCAAGATTGTGGGACACCGACATATTAAGAAAAGCTCTGTCAAAGCAGATTTCTCAACTGAAAGCGAAAACCAAGATCGACGCTGTATTGGGGAATATAAGCCAGATGACATACTTTTCCCGTGTCCAGAAGAAGGATGTGTAAAAGCATACAGTCGCTTTGTAAACCTCCAGACACACCTAGATACTGGAAAACACCAAATGATGCTCGAACAGGAAACTCTCTACGATAAAGCTAAAAGAGAATATTCTTCCAAGCTGACGGAGGGATGCAGTCGAATACCAAGCCTTCAAGTTGCTGCACAATCAAAGCGTGACGGCTTGCCTCCTCTTCCAATGGGTTGGGCCCTGAAGAAAATTAAGAAAAAGGTGCGTTTTACAAAGAAACAGACCGAATTCTTAACTGACCAATTTCAAAAAGGGGAGTATAGTGGACGGAAAAGCGATCCACAGGAAGTTTCGAAAACCATGAGCCTAGCAAGAGACCAAGCGGGGGAACGCCGATTTCAACCTGATGAAGTCCTTACGTCGCAGCAGATTAGTGGCTTCTTCAGCCGTCTTTCAGGAAAGAAGCGATTAGAAGTTACAGCCGCCGATAACGAAGCAAAAGCTAGTGAAGTCTCAGAAGTGGATATGGAGAGCGTCGACGAGGACGAAATCTCCGCCGAAGCTGAGAAGCATCTATCTGCAGTGTGTGCAAATGTGATGAGAGATGTGGCTATTCAGCATCCGATTGTATCTTTCGATGTTAACATCTTCGAACTTGTACAAAAACGTACAATCACAACTTTAAGAGTGGATAGGCTAAGAGACATGTGCATCGACCTTGGGCTGGATATTTCTGACATTTCACCTCAAAAGAGGAAAAAGCCATTCATCGCACGACTCACACAATTAGTCCAAGTAACTGAGCACTGAACGTTTTACGAGTAACTGATCCGCTGATCATAAGAGCGGTGCGTGTATTATTTACAAGAAGGCGTTGCGTGACAGCAGAGTCCTACATATCGGATTTCAGTCACTCGAGCCCACCACTGCTTGTGAAACCTTCTTACCTTTGTGTTGGACGATTTTCAGTATATTCGAAACTGGCGAGTGTAAAAGGCGCAGAGGAGATGCAAATGCTCGAATCCATGTTCACCGGATGAGAAGTAAACGTAAACTAACGGCTTTGCGCCACATTTAACCTGTTGAGTGCAATTCAACTGTTTAACCTGTTGTGTGATGAATTATGCAGAATTATGGCGTGATTCTCAGGGTAGCAAAGTCGAAAATTGTTTCTCCTGTCTCCGTAGATAAGTGTAGTTATAGACATTTTAATATGTTTCTAGTCATTTAGTGTGAAGACATAACTGACCAAAACAGTTATTTGTGTCCAACGCGTTTAATTTTGTTATTATGCATCTCATTATGGCGTCATAGTAATTTAACCGAAATTCGGCTGGTGGTCATCTTTTGATAGTCAAAGGTCCCAAAGAAATAAAACCCAAATCGTAAAGAACTATCTTTCAAGGCTTCTTGGTAGTGTTATTGTAAACTTTGAGACACTACCACATGTATTTTTGCCAAGCTATTCTAGGCCACCTTTGCCTTAATTTCAAAAGGCCGAAGATGTCGTATCTTAATAGGGACGTAGCTCCACCAAGAATAACATGAGACAAAAACTGTCACTTTGCCTCGATAATGCAAGTCCAACTCAATATTTCTATAACTAGAAAAGTTCTTCCGTTACATTTTTGTTAGCATGACAAGTGCTCGAAAAGTGCATAATTTCAGGACCGCGCTTGGTGAAATTTGAGCTATTTAACCCCGGAAATGTTAAAGCAAATTATTCCCGCTATTTCAAAAATCTAACCCCATTTCCTTTTGTTTACTAGATAAGACTACCCACAGGCAAAAAATGAACCAAATCGATTTTTGACCGTGTCCGCGACTTTTTCGATAATCTGTGATTTTTATTGACATTTACTCTTAATGATTCCTTCGACAGAACTTGATCGACTTCTATTAAGACTCTTAAGCGAAACGAAGGGTTACCTCAGATGCCTAGGGCGACATTATAGTTAACTTTTCGCGATCGTTATTTCAAAAAGATACTCATAAGAACTTTACGCCAAAACATAAATTTTCCTATTAACAAATAGAGAAGCCTCTATTGTGCTTTGTTCTGTTGTAAATCACGTAGGAAGAGGCTAGAACACGAAAGAAGTCTCCCCCCTTATCTCTATTTTCTACTTGGTTTGGATGCGTAGCATTCTCTGTAATCGAAATGATTTAGCAATAATATCTTTTAGTAAAAATTTTTTGCATAATATCTTAACTTTACAGTTACATGAAAATATTCATCCACAAGCTGCATCAGAGTTTCCACGGGTAACCGTTTTTTTATATTTAAGGTGAACGGCCAGGCTCCCGTGAGGGCGGTGCAATGCCTGCCGATCTACAGACCTAATCCAACCCATGGCTGAAAGTGCAATGCCTTAGGGTTGGGTCCACCAAAAACCGAGGGCCACCAGGCACCAACTTCGTTGGGGAATCGAACCCCACCTCGCCAAAATTAACACACACACTCCAAAAATTGAACACACTCCCTCACGAACCACCGAGACACAAAACGAAACACACACTACTGACACAAGGACCCCCGCACAGTACACCAATGAAGGAGACCCAGTGCAGGAGGTCACACCACCAGATACAACACAGACCGCCCAGATTAGGGCCATGCAGCACTAAAACCCCCTTGCAGTACACCAATGAAGGAGACCCAGCACAAGAGGGTACAGAACAAGAACAGAACAAACACGATGCCCAGATTAGGGCCATGCAGCACAGAACCTCCGTGCAGTACACCAATCAAGGAAACCCGGCACAGGAGGACACAGAACAGAACAAACAAAATGCCCAGATTAGGGCCATGCAACACAGAACACAAACAGACAAAACACAATGCCCAGATAAGGGCCATGCAGCGCGCAGGGAAAACCGGTTAAAGGGCAAGGGAAAGGTGACCATCAGAGACGGTGGCAACGACTCCACGGGCACCCCACTGACGGTGGAAGAAGCGACGACGGCGAGCAGACTGAAATCGCTTGAAAAAGATGGGCAGATGGAATCTCAAACGAGACTTTACCCTAGCGATCACCGCAGCAGCGCCGGGACGAACAGCACGGAAACGGAAGTCATTACGGGATTGCCAGATGAAATATTTACAAAGGTTCAACAAATACACAAAGACCCAGGGGGTGATAACCAGCTCGTCAGAGCTGAAGCCGAAGAGAACATGACGACAAAGAAGAGCAGGACACATGAAAGAAAAACTGAACAACAACGACTGGAGCCAGGAGAGAACACTCTGAGCAAGGGGACAGTAAAAGAACAAATGCTCCAGCGACTCAACAGGAGACCCACAAAAACAAGAGGGGGGAACTGACAATCCAAAAGAAACAAGACGCTGTGCGGTGTATAAGACGCCGTGCGCAATCTTCCAACATAGATCGGTAACTTGACGGTCGAGGTCAAAAAAGGTCAGCGAGCGCCACGTGGATGGCCAGTCTAGCGAACCGTACATCGGGGAAAACTTAACGACACAATGCGGTAAAACCATGTTCTCGGAAAGAAGGTACAAATAGCAGCTTTTTGTGGACATATCAGCCACAGGGCAGCAGAAATGAGGGCAGGATGAACCGAAAACGAGAGAGTTACGGGCCGTGGCAAAGGAACCATTGAGGCCTCGCAAGGCCAAAAGAAGAGAGGAATAAAAGGGCGGCAAAACCCTGGGATCAAAAGAAAACGGCCTGGAAAAAACGACAGAGGGCAAAACACCAAAGGACGACACAAACCAGAAGGACATGAGTGAGGACCAACCAGCGGAGGAGGAGGCAAACCTCCTCACCCACTGGCCGAGAAGGGCCCACACCTTGAACTGCACATTAACAACAGAGAAACCACCAAAAAGAGAGGACTGACACACGACAGAGCGAGAGACGAGCTCCCGCTTGCCGGACCAGAAGAAAGAGAAGACTAAGGAAGAGAGCTCCTTTGCCACCCAGGCGGGCATGTGGACCAAAGAGGCCACATACCACACCCGAGAGAGGGCAAGAGCATTAATAACCAGGGATTTGCCACGAAAAGACAGAGAACGAGAACGCCATGACTTGAGAACATGGTCCACCGCATCAATACGGGGACGCCAGTTATCGCTATCCAGATCCCCAACACCCACGAAGACACCCAGAACCTTAATCTTCGAAGACGACCACTCTAGGGCGACCGGAGGGTCCGTACGACCACACCGGCCCCCCAGCCAAAGACCCTTGGACTTAGCCTGGTTCAATTTGGACCCAGAGGCTCTTTTAAAAAGAGCATAGGTCTCAAAAACCGCTTTGATGGCGTCATCAGAGGAAACAATAAAAGACGTATCATCCGCGTATTGCGACATCGGGGAGAGAGGGGGAAAGCCAGGAATACGAGGACCAGAAATGCGGGCATTGCAGCGGATGTTGGCCGCAAGAACCTCAGATACGAGGAAGTACAGCAGGGGGGACAAGGGACAACCCTGTCTCACCCCCCGTGATAGGTTGAAAAAAGCTGAGACGTAGCCATTGACATTTACACTGGATTGCACCCGATGGTAGAACAGATCCACCCAGGCGACAAAAGAAGGGCCAAAGCCCATTGCCACCAGAGTGGATCGCATGAAACCCCAGTCGACGCGGTCGAAGGCCTTCTCTTGATCGAGAGAGAGAATGGCCACTGGGGTCCCAGAAGAAGACGCAAAAGCGACCACATCACGTAGAAGGGCTACGTTCTCCCCGATAAAACGGCCAGGGACCCCGCAAGTCTGATCCTCTGCCACCAAGAGATGAATGACTTTTAGCAGCCCACCCGCGATGGCCCGAGACGCGAGCTTGTAATCCACATTTAAGAGGGTGATCGGCCGCCAATTGCGAGGATCTAACCGATCACCCTTCTTGAAGGACAGGGAAATGACACCTCTGCACTGAGAAAGAGAGAGAGAACCAGAGTCAAAGCAAGAATTAAGAACAGAGACGAGGTCAGCACCCAAAACCGGCCAGAACTTAAGATAGAACTCCATGGGAAGGCCATCAAGACCAGGGGCCTTACGTCTGGCCATCCCACGGAGAGCAGACAAAACTTCATCAACAGTGAGGTGACCCTCACACAAAGAGGACTGACCACCAGAGAGAGAAGATGACAAATTCTCTAGGAGGCCAGCCCGGACATGAGAGTCAACCGAAGATGCAGAAAAAAGATCGGAATAAAAAGAAGACAAAGAGGCACAGAGGTCAAGAGGGGATGAAACAATAGAGCCATCCCTATCTCTCAGCGCAGAGATCCATCTGTCAGAACCATGTTTCCGTTCAAGACGCAAGAAATATGCCGAGGACGACTCACCCTCCTCCACCCACTTGGCCCGAGAGCGAACCTGGGCCCCCCTGGCCGCCTGGGAGTCCAGGGCGGCCAACTCAGCCAGGGCCGACTGATAAGGGCCAAGGCACTAGGAGGAGCCCAGGTCGACCTTAGCCTTGAGGTGGTCGATTAGACGGACCAGAAGGTCCCGGAGGCCCGACCGGGCACTGGACTTACGACAGCAAAAGCGGATCGTAAGACCCTTCACGAGACTCTTCCCCGCATCCCACCACTTCACAAGGGAGGGAAAACGGGAGATGGAGCGCCGCCATGACGACCAAGCATCCGAAATCAGGGCAACATACTCAGGCTCATTTAGAACAGAAGTGTTGAGCTTCCAAAGGCCCGGACCAGGGGGGACAGCATCGGGGATCAAAAGCGAGAGACACACACCACAATGGTCCGAAAAAGGACAAGGGACAATATTACACGAAGAAACAGAAGACACCCACGAAAACGGCACACCAAAAAGATCGATACGGGACGCCAGACTGCCATCCCACCTGGTCCAGGTAAAACCGGAAGAGGAAGGGTGGAGATACCTCCAGATATCAATGACACAACAGTCCTCGAAAAGATATTTAAGCGAGGAAGAGCTGTCACGCGGCGAGGTGGACAGGCCACCGCCCGCATGATCCAGGGAACGGTCAAAAACTTCGTTAAAGTCCCCACAAAGAACTGTAGAGATCGAGGGATCAATCCTGGAATGAAGCTCTTCAAAGAACTGATCCCGCGCAGGGTTGCGGTTGGGAGCGTACACACAAACGACACGAAAGGACTTGCCAAAGAAAGAAAATTCAACCTGTAAATAACGACCTGAGACATCACACCAAGAGTTAGCCAAAGACAACGAGGGGCGAAAAAGGATAATACAACCACACGAATGAGAAGACCCAGGGGAAACGACAGCAGAGAAGCCAGAAGAAGGAAACCACGACAAACACTCAGCAGATGACAAACAATGAGTCTCCTGGAGGCAGACAATGTCGGCACTCACAGGAAGAGACCGCAACCACTGCACCAAACCAGCTCTTTTAGACTGATCCCTGATCCCATTGCAGTTCAGAGTCAGTATAGACAGGGCCATGATGAGGGAAAAAAGTCCAGCCATAACACTAATGAGGGGGGTGACCACGGCTAGATGCCTTTTCAGCAGCTAGGGAGACACTCCCCGGAAAAGAATGGTGGCCCCGACCACCCGGGTTCTTTTTAGATACCTTAGAATTCCCAGCCTCCTTAGCGACCGGCCTCAGGGCTGGGCCGGGCGGAGCCGATGAGTCCTCCGGGGGAGACTCTGGCGCTGGACGCTAATGCGGCCCGGAGGCAGGCACCATCTCCAAGTCCCCCGATGAGGGGGGGGGGAATCTGATGCAACACCATCCGCAAGGTCAAAAAGAGGCATCCCGCTATCGGAGCAGCCCGTTCTTACATTACCAGCACTAGCATTTGTATTATCCATATTGCTTACGTTATCTACACAGCTTACTTTACTAGCATTTACTATATTGCTTACATTGCTAATAGGGGGATCCCTGCTTACATTACTAATAGCGTTATACATTACATTACTAGGATTGCCATTGCTTACTTTATCAATTAACAAGCCATTATCATCTACCACATTACTAACGCAGACAGGAGCCACGCTGCCTACATTACTAGAGCAAGAAGCTACATTGGAGACAGCAGAGGGAGAGCCCCGGCAATCCGGGACACCCCCCCCCAACGGAGGAAGAGGAAGCACCCGATAAGAGAGACGGGCACGAAGAGACATCCCCCACCGACAGAGAAGACCCACCCACAGAAACCTGCTCAACACAATCAGCCTCGACGGCCGGGGGCCCACCACCTGCGGACTCACCCGGCTCGGAACCAGAAAGACCACGATTGGGCAACGGACCCCAGGCACCCCCACCATAGAAACCTGGACGATCAGGGCAGTCACGGGCCACATGCCCCTGCTGCCGGCAGTGAAAACATCTACCCTTGTTGGGGCACTTGGCAGCTACGTGGCCCACCTCCCCGCAAGCATCGCCGGTGACCGGCTGGCCCCTGTACCAGATCTTGCAGCGTACCCCCGCAATCACAAGGGACCGCGGGATGGGAGATGAGCGGACCATTTTCGCCACCCGGGTACCTGTGTGAATACCTGGGAGGCCAACCCACGTCTCGTAAGAGATACCCTCGACCGCGCCATAATCAGACAAAACCCTACGCACTGGGCTGTCATTGTTCTCATAGGGAAAATTATACACAAGAACCTTCTCCACCGGAGAGGCAGGGGAGATCACTTCACACTCAACCCCAAAAATCCGGATAGACCCCTCGTCCTGAAAATCCGCCTTAGCGGCTTCCCCCCCCTCTTCGAATGTCACCCGAGCAATACGGTTGGGGCACTGTTGAATGGCCACCACCTTAAACTGGGCCTTCTCTGCGAAATAATCCCGAAGAGCCTTTGCAGTATCGTAGATCGACGTACCCTCAGGGAAAACACCAAGTTTAATGTCGATCGAACGCGTAAGAACGCGTGGGACAACCATCACGAAGGGGAAGTAGGAAAAAGTAGGGGCCCAAAAAAGGGGCACACCCTAGATCCTGTACTAACCCCAAATGGGATGGGTGGCCAAAGAAAGAAAAAACCACCAAGTTTTCCCTCCCGGCAGGTACTCACTTGGGGCTAAAAGAACAAATCGCAGTTATACTTACAGAAGTCCGGCCCAAAAAAGAACACAATAGCGAGGTCACCCTTCCAATGGATAACTTGACTTCACTTGTCTCCAGCAGCTTGTTTTCTTCCGGATGCCGTATGGAGGCTTTTGCTTCTCTTTACTCTTAATAGCTTTTCTTGTATTCTCGATTGAAACATACAGCATCTCTTAGGTAGTTAAATTCTGGTTTGAACCCGCTCCTCTACTGCTGCTGGAAGACCAGGGAAGTGAGGCAAACACCAGTGAAGGGCACATTAACGCAGTATTTCGGTTTTAATAGTCATATGTCATCAATCAGTGCGATATTTTCGCTTAAGTTCTTGAAAACGATAAAATAAATTCCGCTCTCAAGCCCTAATTATTGTTCTTATATTTTCGTTTCCCAACTCAACGAGTTTAGATAGTAATTAACAGTCACTAGCGAAATTCTCCCTCTCTTCCACTCCAAGAACATTTATACTCAGGGATGTTTGCGGCCGGACTATAATCTCAGAAATTAGACTCTTAAGAGGCAGCACCCTTATCACAATTATCGCCCCTTTTAAAATACTGATGATGCAGGAAGCGATGTTTCTGTAAGGTTTACTTTTTTAACCATAACCTCATATCAAGTATAGTTATGAGGAAACTTAGAGTACTTCAACGCATTCTGTTTTGTCGACTCATAATATGTGTAGGTAGTTTTGAAACCCTTACCGCGCCCGTGACTGCTCCTAAAGCAGACACTGAATCACTTCATGAGTAATAGGAAATCATTGACAATGTAGGATGCAGGAGGAAGAAGAGATTTTCTGTTCGGATGAACATAAATCATCATTGTTAGTTTTAGAGTTTTACTACCGGATTTCAGCAAATTATTGTTCGCTATAGCTGCTTAATGTGATGATAAAGTTGGAGGGTAAATGTCGCTCAATAATACAATTTAATCCTGCTTCAAACCAACAAAGCTTATTTAAAATAGGCTCGTCTTTCAATACTCTTGTTCTTAGCCGAGTGAATAAAATTTAAGACCGAGATTTTAGTAGATAAATTGAATTGTGAACTTTATTTCAAGACTCCTAACGAAATCTAGTTACAAGGGTTCCTTGCTGCATCGGCTTTGACGCCCTTTCGCCCTATCACCGGTTAATTTCAGTCGTATTGCAGTGTACGGACTATTTCTTAGATATAACACGTTTATAATCCATTCTTTGTACAGTCAAAGACGTTGCACTGATCCATGATGGCAAGTTGGATTAATTTGATTTACTTTGGATTAATACACCTTATTTTATCATTAAAAATTTGCTTACGTGCGGATATTTTGTGAGTTGCGTTGTACTTTTTCCGAGCCCCGAAGGCATGAGTGAAAGGCGGAAACAGCACAAACGAAACTATGACTAACAATAACATCTGTAAATACGAAAGCGATCTTTGCATTTCACAGTTCATATAGTTCACATAGTTTGCAGTTCACTTATGAGTTTCATAAATTCACAGTCAAATAACATCTGCTGCGCTGAAAAGTTATTTCCCCAAGAAGAAAAACGGATGAAAAATCAATTGGATCGTTTGCTAAAGCCACTTTTTTGTTCCGCTCTCTGACCGTATTTTTGGCCCTAATCTACAGAGTAATCCATTGATATTTTGCCTGTTCCGATGCCCCAAAAAGGGAAAATAACGTCATAGTGGAAAAAAAAATTGTATAGCTTCTCTTCAATTGATTCAAGAAAGAGTTGCCGAGTTAGAAATAAAATATACCTTTGAGAACTATTTGTAATCTACGCCGTGGACGAACTGCTATTAAAAAAACTATCAGTATACACTGGAGCTCATTGGGAGCTTTGAGTAAAATTTGGTTACATCTCTAATTTCAGTGACCTCCTCCTCCTAAATTAATTACAGTCGAACGAATACTAAGATATAAAGCGATTGTTCTTTTCAGTCCGCTCCACGTTACTTTTTTTCTTTTAATTCAAAGTGAACACTCTCCGCCTCTGCTTTTTTGTGGTAAGAAGCAGACGCTCCACCTTGCTTATTTCATCTTCTAGCTGGCTTAGGCTTTGTTGGAGGAGGCGTTTTGCTTTGTGAAAGTGGCCGTCGCGAACGTGACCTTGGTAACGGTACTGGTTTCAGTTTAGGTTGAATCTCAGCCTCCTGTAACTCCTTGAAACGGTCCAGTGTTTTTCTTGCTGTTAGCCTGGCACGTGGATCTTCATTCCAGCAATTAGTCATGACACGCTGCCATATTTCATATGGATGATTTGTGCCTTCGATGTGAGTAGGTCGACAGCCCTGTCTCACCTTTTCGAGCTGGTCCAATTCGCAGGTTGTCATTGCCGTTTGAAAAGCTGTCTCACCATACCATATTTCCCAAAGTACAAAGCCAAAACTATACATGTCAGCTTTGCTGTTGTAAATTCGACCCTCACACACTTCAGGGGCCAGGTACAGAGAGGTGCCGACCATCGTACCTGTTATTTCTTTTTCATGTTTAGCTACTCCTACATCTGCAAGTTTCACTTGCTCGCCTTGTGTCAGCTATGATGAAATATGAAACTCAGTCAAAAAGAATCATAATGAACAAGGGAAACAATAGATGACTTAATGTCACTTTGGTGCTTTTTTCTTTGACTGCAAGATCGTGTTTCATCGTAATAAACACCAGGTGCCGCGACAAAGACTTCATGTTAATCATTGTCGACCAATGAATTTTGTTTGCATGGCATACAATCTTCTGCATGAGATCTCTTGCAAAATAGTAAGGAAACGGGTGGCTTATTTCCATAATTAAAAGCATGCAATTTTCATCACCAAGACATCATTTCCAGCCACTAGAAACCAAAAGCCTCCCCTTCCCCCCTTCCAAAAAAAAAACACTCTTGAATTAGTAAAGAGCACGGCATGTAGTGCGTCTAAAGGCTGGAATATTTTCGAAAAATTGATGGGGGGCAAGAAGGCTATGTTTTACTGAGGAAGGAAAATCGCCCTATACATGTCGGTAAAAACAGGTAACTGACACCTTAACTGGGAAATGAAAGTTCAACTCAGTACACATTTACCAGCACATTTTCCAGCTTTAAATCTCGGTGAACAAATCCTTCTGAGTGGATATAATGCAAGGCCTGTAGGATATGTCGTACCCAGGATAAGACTTTCTTCTTGACCGTGTCGTTCAACGATCGAGCGGGTGAATCCTCTGGATGGGTAAGTACTCGATCTCTGAGAGAGCAACTGCAAAGCTCGAGGACGATCATCACTTCAGTGCCATTGGGGCTTTGGTGCAAATTGGTTCCATAAAAACCCACAATGTTTGGATGGCGCAGTTTTCTAAGACAAAGATAGGAGGCTCATTTGCTATTAAACTTATGGGGCAGCAGGTACACAATCGTTTTTCAATTGCATGTGTAGCAAGCTATAACATTTCCGGCTTTCATGACAGTTGATCTGTCAAATGAACACAACTGTATGAGAAAAAATGGTATTTTGATCCTCTTACCTTAAAGCACGTTCCTCGTCTACAAAATGCCACACGTTATTACTGGTAAGCGGGTCAATGTACATCTTGATAGCCACCTTAATCTCCGGCGATCCTTTGCGATGAAGAACGCCTTTAAACACTGTCGAGAAGCTGCCTCGTCCAATGGAATTCTTTCTAAAATCGCATTCCAACTCTTCTCTTGCGAAATCCGACTGCCTGATCTCTCGCAGAGTGTAGACGGCTATATCCCGTCTCAGAGACTCCAGCTCGTTGTTTAAAGGCTCGTAGATCCTCCGAATCTCAGTATTGCCTCTCTTGTCTTCAAGTAGCTGTTGATAGATCAGCTCGTCACCTTCTCTCAGCTTTGGAATCTTCTTCTTGATCTGTCCTAGGTACAGTACGGCGTCTTCCAGTTGTTCGTTGATGAACGGAAGCAAGCGGTCTCGAGTAGAAATAGCTTTGAGACATTTCCGTGATCGCTTTGACATGTAGTCACACGGATCGTCGGAAAACTTGACCAGTTTGGTATTGCTATAGATCTTCTTTTTAATTTCGCTTCCGAGCATGCTAAGTGGCGACCCTATCACCACTGATGCCAATCCTTGCCGAAGCCATAGCGGAATAGTACTTGATTGTAATCTTCCTCTTACTCTAGATCGTTTCAAATTTTCTCCACCCTCGTCCTGTGGAAGGTCGCCCTCCGCCTCGTCGAAGATAAAAAAATCTTCTGCTACTTCGCGCATTTCTTCCTCCATTATATCATACTTTTTGCAACAATGTTGGATCAATGACACTCGAGCTTTGTCGAATTCGTTCTCTTCGTTTTCCCATCGCTGGACAAATTGGTGTGTTTTCTCTGAGATGTACTTTAACACCTCATTCTTTGTATCCTGCCATGTCCCAAGGGGTTTCGGTACTTCATCTTTAGACCATTTGCAGAAACTCGAGATAGTTTCCTCCGAATTAAAGTGCAAAGCTAGCTTCTCGAGGATGTCTTCAAATATTTTCGACTGATGCTCGCTAAGTTCATCAAATTTACGTTTCTGAGAATTCTGCAGCTCCTCCATGCGACTTAAAAATCTCTTGATTTTTGCCTCTGTTTCCTGATGAGACATTTTTGCCGACTTCAGTTTTATGCGGACTTGACGAGACATGCGATCGAGGAGATCTTCCAGCCACCTGATGAACAATCATATAAAAATGTGTATGATGTCTTAATTACAACTGCTAAACAATTAAAATGACAATACCAATTCTTGAGAGAAGAACTTTGTTCGTTTGTCTCACGATAGAGTTAATTATGATGTAGATCGCGACGTTTCGACTGCAATACTACTAGTCTGCATCAGGCGATGAGATCGATTGTTCACGTGACGCTATTTGTAGCACGTTGGTACGCTGCTATTGGTGCATTTCGTTCCTCGTTATTATTCCGGTTGTTAAATGGTGTTACCTCATAAGTCTTCATAAATTGGCTGTTGTGTTATTTGATCGTGGATTTCCAAGCTTCGGGAATGTCGATACCACTATCCCTATTGATGTTGTAGGGATGAAGTCTTATATGGATAGCCTCTTTGACCCTACGTGTGTGCCAGTGGGGTTCACGATCAATAAACTTAACCTAGTTCCAAATAGGAATATACCCCGTTTCGTTAGCGTGCTCCGAAACCGCAGAAGTCTGAGTACGAGCAAACCGTATGTCTCTGTAATGTTCTCGCAAGACTAGCAGTATTGCAGTCGAAACCTCGCGATCTACATATAAGTGACTCAATCGTGAGACAAACGAATTAAGTTCATCTCCTATCTTACATCACAATGAACAACAAGCACATATTTTATTACCAATGTAAAACTTTTCATTTGTTAAAATTTTTAATAGAAAATCAAAAGTTTCTGGGTACTAACTGTATCTCACAACAAGTGTGATGCACACCGTTTCCTTTACCTGATTCCTTGGTCAATAAAAAAAAGTAAAATATATATTTTTTCGTAATCAAAAATGTCTTCTGCATTTTCTATTTCAAAATTGATGATCCCTACAGTGCGCAGACCGCTTGTACTCTGTTCTCAGTCAAGGATCCTAAGGATTGATGTTCGAATCGTATTAGGTCTCCAATCTATTCTTGTATCTTCTCTTTGTCCGAGGCTTCTAATTACTCCAATTACCTCCGAAGATTATCACTTTGTTTGGCATTGTGGCGCAAATGGAGAATTTTTCGGGTTAATGAATAAATTTTTTTGCCCGCCGAAATAAATCAATAAAAAGTAAGAACCAAACAATCGCACGATCACAGCAGCCATTTACGATCGAGAAGCCATTACTACATTCGCGCAGTCTTTTAGCAGCATTGTTTAAGCATAAAAGCGAACACAGCGTGACATCCTACTTGTTGGACTGCTAAGCCGTATCGAAAAGTGCTTGCTTGGACATTTTTAATCGTCCGTTTATTTCAAGAGGAGCTTCTAACAAAGGCAAGAAAAATTTGTAATTTCCTCGTCAGCTTCACTTGATGGTGTATTTCATCGAAGGAAAATAAAGCCGAGTAACTTTTGGACGATCCCTTACTCCTCCTACTAGATTTGTTGGCATAGTCGTCAACATATTATTTTTCATACATCTAAGGTGTGGGACAAAGGTGGGAATGTTTGTATGGGCAAATGGAATTATCAACAAAATTCAAAATGGTATCTTTCATCGGGCCGTGCGCTAAAATTATCAAGGTGGTTTTCCTTTCTTTTCCTCCATCCTTAATGGAAATGGACTTCTGCAGACAAAGAAGAGTATTCAAGTGGGAACAAAGGGCTTCAAGTCTCAAAATTGACGATGAAATCAGTCGATATGATATTATGCTGTACCGCATACGCGATTTTAATTCTTGTTGAGTTGATTTATGCGTATCTGTTCGGCTGCCATTCGGCTATATTTTACATATGAAGAAAGGGGTAAGTTTCTTAAGAAACTGTAGTGCTGCGTCGGTGGGAGAGTATAGCAGGTAATTTAGTGTTAACAACTGGGTTGAAAACGTAAATTAGCCACCGTAAAGGGTAAAAAAGCTGACGTTTCGAGCGTTAGCCCTTCGTCAGAGCGATTAGAGGAATTGTGGGTTGTGTGTGGATTTATATGCAGAAAGTGGAGCTACGCCATTGGTGGGAATATGGTAACGAGAAAACAGGAATAAATTAGTTGAATGAAAAGCGCTCGTTGATTCCGTGGGGATTAAGGGTACCGATTTGGAATATAAATTTTTGTTCTAGTGTTTTACGGCTTTCCGAACTACCTAGATGTGAGGAAAGGCCGCAAACTGCCATATGCTGTTTAGAATGATTAGGAAGATTAAAGTGTCTAGCGACTGGTTTGGATGCGTCCTTGTCATTTCTTTCCACATCGCGAAGGTGTTCTCGGAATCGGTCACCCAGTCGTCTTCCTGTTTCGCCGATGTATAACTTATTGCAATAAGTGCAAGTTATGCAGTAAATAACATTGGCGTAGGTACACGTAAAGTGATCAATGACCTAAATGGATCTTTTGGGTCCCGATATTTTCTCTACGTTATGAATGAAAGGACAAGTTTTGCATCATGGGCGAGCGCATTTAAAAGTTCCAGATTGGTCATTGGTTTGAAATGAAATCCTGACTAAAAAGTTACCTATGTTTTTGTCACGTTTGAATGAAATAAGTGGGGGTTGTGAAAAGATAGTGCCAGTCTCTGAATCGTTTTGGAGTAATTTAAAATTTTTAAGAATGATAGATTTAACTGCGTGGTTGTGAGGGTGAAATGTAAGAGTAAATGGAATGCGGTCAGTGCTTTCCTTCTCGGCCGTTTGTAGTGCTGCCTGTCGATTGATTTGTTGGGCACGGTGGTAGCCCGCTTGAACGACAGAAACAGGATAGCCACGTTTATCGAAAAACTGGCATATTGCCTCTGATTTTTCGGAAAAATCAGAGTCGTCACTACATAAACGACGAAGTCTGAGAAACTGAGAAAAAGGTATGGAGTTCTTGACGTGTGATGGATGTGAGGATGAATACAACAAGTAACTATGTGAATCTGTAAGTTTGTAGTAAACACTAGTACATAAGCCGTTGCCTTCAATTGAAATTTTGATGTCTAGAAGAGCCAAAGAAGTGTCGGAAATTTCCCAGGTATATTTAAGAGCTAGAAGAAAGGAATTGACGGCGGTTATAAATTGAGTGAGCTCCTCTTTGATAGAGGAGGTAGCGCCGATGAAATCGTCAATGTAGCGGCCATAGAGTTCAGGTTTTGGGCCGTGGTATTGGCTAAAGAATTGATGTTCGATAAAACCTACAAAAATATTGGCGTAGCTGGGTCCCATTTTAGTACCCATGGCCACGCCAGTAGTTTGATTTGTAGTAGTTACCACCGAATGAAAAGCAATTGAGTGTGAGTACTAGTTCGGCCAGACGGAGTAGTGTTTCAGAGCTAGGTTCCTTAACAGTGCGTTGATCGAAAAAATGTTTGAGGGCCCGGAGATATTCGTCATTGGGAATGACAGTGTAAAGAGATGTTATATCCATGGTGAAAATAAGTTTGTTTTGGTCGAGGAAACTAAAGTCACGAAACATTTCAAGTGCGTGTTGGCTGTCCTTGATGTAAGACTGTAAAGTTTTGACGATAAGGGCCATAACTTTGTCTAAATAGCTGGAAATAAGTTGGGTGGGACAACTGCAGGCAGAAACGATGGGTCGACCTGGGTTGTTAGGTTTGTTGATTTTAGGTAAAAAGTAAATACACGAAGTTCTAGGAGTGGTAATGATGAGATTTTTAGCAGTGGCAGGCAATTCTTGTTTAGCTATAAGATCGTTAGTCGTATTTTTGACAATGTTTTGGTTAATTAAAGTGAGATCTTTGTCGACTTTAGCATAAAAGGAGATGCCAGAAAGTTGCCGCAAAGCTTCTTTTTGGTAGAGGTCGGCCCGCCAAACAACAGCTCAGAAAAATCAGAGGCAATGTGCCAGTTTTTCGATAAACGTGGCTATCCTGTTTCTGTCGTTCAAGCGGGCTACCACCGTGCCCAACAAATCAATCGACAGGCAGCACTACAAACGGCCGAGAAGGAAAGCACTGACCGCATTCCATTTACTCTTACATTTCACCCTCACAACCACGCAGTTAAATCTATCATTCTTAAAAATTTTAAATTACTCCAAAACGATTCAGAGACTGGCACTATCTTTTCACAACCCCCACTTATTTCATTCAAACGTGACAAAAACATAGGTAACTTTTTAGTCAGGATTTCATTTCAAACCAATGACCAATCTGGAACTTTTAAATGCACTCGCCCACGATGCAAAACTTGTCCTTTCATTCATAACGTAGAGAAAATATCGGGACCCAAAAGATCCATTTAGATCATTGATCACTTTACGTGTACCTCCGCCAATGTTATTTACTGCATAACTTGCACTTATTGCAATAAGTTATACATCGGCGAAACAGGAAGACGACTGGGTGACCGATTCCGAGAACACCTTCGCGATGTGGAAAGAAATGACAAGGACGCATCCAAACCAGTCGCTAAACACTTTAATCTTCCTAACCATTCTAAACAGCATATGGCAGTTTGCGGCCTTTCCTCACATCTAGGTAGTTCGGAAAGCCGTAAAACACTAGAAACAAAATTTATATTCCAAATCGGCACCCAAGTTTAATCCCCATGGAATCAACAAGTACTTTTCATTCAACTAATTTATTCCTGTTTTCTCGTTACCATATTTCCCAATGGCCAATGGCGTTTCTTCGTACTGTTTCCAAACGTTCTTTGGGGAAATTTAAAGCTCCACTTTCTGCATATAAATCCATACACAACCCTCAATTCCTCTAATCGCTCTTTGAAGAAGGGCTAACGCTCGAAACGTCAGTTAATTAAGCTTTTAATTATTCTAACCTTCATTTTACTGTTCTACTCTTGTGTTCAATATATATTTTTTGGAGTTTGCCAAATTATTGGGGGGGCCCGGGCCCCCCCGGCCCCTCCCCACGCTACGGCATTGTATAAATCCATACACAACCCTCAATTCCTCTAATCGCTCTGACGAAGGGCTAACGCTCGAAACGTCAGCTTTTTTACCCTTTACGGTGGCTAATTTACGTTTTCAACCCAGTTGTTAACACTAAATTACCTGCTATATTTTACATACATTGAGATGAGTTACTGTTTTAAAGTTTTATGGATTTCACTGGACTTGACCTTTGTTTTTGTTATTAATTATTTCGGTCGGCCACGTGAATCGTATTAGTCAGAACGGTTGGGGCTGAAATGAGTCTGAGTCGGGCTCAAAACATATTTATGCCCGCAGACATAAACTCTATTGAAATAAGAGAGATGGTAAGTTTTGAGCTCGGTAAAGAAATAGATAAAGGTGCTTTTTTCGTCTTGTCACGAGCGCGGGACAAAGAAAAAATTCTGAGTTCCCACGAGGAATCGAACCGTGTCCCACGCTCGTGACAAAACGAAAAAAAAAAAAACCTTTCTCTATTTCTTTACCGAGCTCAAAACCTACTATCCCTCTTATTTCTATCTATAAGCATTACGCAATCGACATTGCTGATCCTAGCAGTATGCAGGGCGCGTGTTATATGAACTTCGTAATAGACTTCGCCCACCGTGGAGTCTCTGTGGCTCAGTGGTTAGAGCATCGGAGCGCGGAATCCGAAGGCCTGAGGCCGTTCGATTCTTCATGGGGACTCAGAATTTTTTCTTTGTCCCGCGCTCGTGACAAGACGAAAGAAACACCATTCTCTATTAACTCTATTACTATGTTATACACAATGCTATTAAATGAATAATCATTGGATCTGCTACAGTTATTTTCATGTAATCATCTGCATCCTATCTTAATTTATGTCTCCTTAATGACATATTTATTCCAATTCTACTTTGTAATCGAGCTTTAACTTCCATCTTAAGGCTTTGTCTTTGTTGTGTATTTGATACAACATAAATATTCAAGGCTTCAACCTAGAACTATTCAGAAGTCTACTTACCTAGTGTTCATCTGCAGATTATTCTTCATGGACGAAACTACGAGATTACTAATCCCTGTTATTAGGTTGCTGAAATCCTCTGTCACTACCCCATAAGTCTGAGCTAACTGCGCGGTTTGGCATGACAAATAGACAATCTGCGATTTCGGATCCAGGTTACCAAGTATTCTTGTAAGCTTTTCGACCGTATGCCTTTTCACCTCTTCGCGGTCGTTGTTATTAACCAAATCCCATTTGTTGCAGACAAACAACATACAGCCAGCTGATAGTGACAAATCCAAGTTGGCATTTTTCCTCAGATTTTGAGCGTACTTGAGTAGCTTTCCCAACTTAAAAGACAAAAGAAAAATCAAAAGAGACCTAAGAATATTGATACAACATGACAAACTTCATATTCAACTTTTAGTTAGCTCTTACACCTATGCGAGGCAAATATGGTCTGACAAGAAATGTTTCAACTATCCTACGCTTGCAAATATACAGCCAATTGCTAATGGGATATCCAAAAAATCACTGCCTGACGAATGAATTCCACGTTAAATTTCACGCGAAAAACCGATATGGCACGGAAGCGATTCGTGCGATATCGGTTTTTCGCGTGAAATTTTACGTGGAATACACTCGTCGGGCGGTGAGTTTTTCTTGAACCGCATAATGAAATAAAAATAAGAAAAAATAAACAGTAATAATATTGTTTTTATGGCTCACTTTGAAAAACGCTTTTGTTCGTGCGTAGAAAAAATTTTACGAACAGCTTGCTGTATGCAGTGTGGGATGTCAAGTACGACTTTATGAACAAAAATATATCTCCCTTCTTCTGTAACAACCAGAAAACCCTCTCTCATTTCCGTAGCGGAAGTAAGGTTTGAAAATTGTTTTAGTTGGGGGTATTCGGTCACGTGGTGTGTTTAGATCAATCGCGCGCAAGCCAAAATATTTGATGGATCATAAAAAGGGTTATTCCCGAGAACATGTATGCTGACCCTTCCCTTTCCTCCAAAGTAATATTTCATAATTCTTGTGAAGAGTGTGTATTTGCAATGCATTAAAAACCAGTCAGCAAATTGTGTTGCCAGTTTTGATGCTATATAAAGTAAGCGAACCAAAGAGCCGTACAGTGTCTAGCGACACACGCTTGAAAATATGACTGATAAGGATGTTATATTCCTCTAAAAAAAAAGATTAATCACTTTAAATTGATGTTGACTCCGTATGGTATTAAAGAGTTGATAGAACTTTTGTAGTGCGTTGGTCCAGCTTTGGGTCTATATATGTATAATCAAGTGGGAAAGAAGCGTCTCACTACACAAATGAGCACGGTGACGACCATTTCTATTATCTCTTTAACATTTTAAAACAGTGCTCAAAGCTGAAACTGAGATTTAGGACGACTTCTATTTTTAAGGAATCACTGAAAGTAATGATGAAAACAGTACTTAGTACTTATAGCATCATTCTTAAGTATCATTCTCCTGTGGATGTGAGGCCCACTTCTAATGGACCTCTTCTAAACTGATTGTTAATGGTAATGGGACCGAGGGGACTCCAATATCGGTCTGTAATCATATGAGTTATAAAAAAAAATCGGACGACCGCGAAGCGGGAGTGCTATTT